GTCTGCTGCGCCTCCCTGGCGGGGAGGGAACTTGTGCTGCAGAGGCTGTGAATAGCTGCACAGTGCTATGCTTAACCCCTTGCACCACCAGGGAGGCCCCAGTACTGCTTGCCTTGTGAGGAGGGATATGGCCTGGGCAGGTCAGAATAGCACCTAATAACTGCAAATGGAGGCCTCCCCTGGTGGCGCTGTGAAGCTGCCCACAGCCTCTGCAGCGCCGGTTCGATTCCCAGCCACCGGCGAGGGTCCCACATGGTGCAACAGACCTCTCCTGCCGCGCCCGCTGCTCCCCTCAGCGGTGTATTTTGTCAGTCTGCCGGTTCTGTTGCCTGCTCTATCTCTGGTGAATCCTCTCACCCTCCAGTGCATCTGGCCTGTACCCCGGTTCTTGTATAAATAAACAAATCTTTAAAAAAAATAATAATACACTATTGAAAAAAATAACTGCAAATGGCTCCAACATAAAGGGAGATCAAATCTCTGATTGATAACTTTAGGGAGGAAAAATTTTTTCATGGACAATTGAAGGGAATATGTAATAAGGGTTTAGTTTGAAATCTATATAGCTGCCACAGAACCAAGTGGGCCAATGGATCTGTGAGTTTATGAAGAAATTTACTTTGCAAAAGAAATCATTTATTTTTTATGTTATTTACACTCAAGAACTTTGTTACCATTACAGGGAAGCAGATGCTAAACTGAAAAAGAAAATAGTGATTTCATTTCAGAAAGCAATGATATCCAACTTCTTTATTAAGATGACTGTTAGTGAACAGAGAAAGAAGAGAGCATTTCTTCCATTAGCAAAGCAAATAGGAATCTGTACACAAGAAAATGGAAAACAAGATTTGGTGGGTGACGTTCATCGTTGTGGAAGGAGTAATGAGCTTGTAGGCACAGGAAGTTTTATATCCCACATCTTAAATTGGATAGACGCTCACAGGTTTTAAGCGTTTCTTTGTTGTTGTTGCTTAGTTTTATTTGATGCTACTACTGGCTAGGAGCCAAAAAAAAAAAAAAAAGTAGAACAACAATAACTGATTTCATACTAGCAGCAAGGGTTGGGGAACTCAGTCCATGAGTCTTGGGGTATGCTGAGAGAGCTTCTCATATGGGTTTGAGGGATCCCATCCACCTGCAGGTAACCTGGAAATCGGATAATATAGGGCCTTTGAACCTCGTAGAGAGAGCGCTATATGTTAGCCATGTTGTCTGGCTAGCATTTCCTTTATGTTTTAGGTTGGTTTGCTTTTAAAATCATCTGTGAATCTTTACTATAGTCTCTCCACATCATAAATAAATTCTAGTTCGATGTGGGCACAAGATGAAAAGGAACGGGCCCAGTTCTGGTCACCAGCAGTGCCAGGAGTGCTGGCAGCCAAGATGAAGGTGAATCTTATGTACAAGGTTTAGGAGTTGAAGGCCTGTGTCCCTTTCTAGGTGAAGACTTGCCTTCTCGGCCTCCCCGGTGGCGCAGCGGGTTGAGCACAGCGCTGTGAAGCTGTCCGCAGCCTCCGCATCGCCGGTTCAATTCCTGGCCAGCCAAGGAGCATCCCACATGGCGAGGCAGACCTCTCCTGTCTCGCCCACTGCTTTGGTCCGTCTGCCTGTTTTGCTCCCCTGTCTGTCTCTAGTGAATCCTCTCACCCTCCCACGACTCTGGTCTGTACCCCAGCTCTTGTATAAATAAAAATAAATCTTTAAAAAAGAAAAGACTTGCCTTCCATTCTCCACCTTGGAGCAGTGCGTTTTCATTTTCATTGAGACAATGGTTTCATTTGGCATGGATGGCCAGGCATACAGTCTTTAGTTGTAAATTTGTTGTTTGAGTGATGTTTCTTGCTGCCCTCTAGTGGTTTCTATCCAGCAACTGCTGCGTCCCCTCCTAGCATTGTTTAGGATTAACTATCCTCAGAACCGTTTTTTACCTCCTTTCCATTATCATAAAAGAGCATTCTCCGGCCTACTTGGTGGTTCTATGAGTTAAGTCTCAGCACTACCATCATGAGGGCTCACGGCAAAGTGGCCTGAGTTCGATCCCTAGCCAGGAAGCTGATCCACAGGGCGCAGGAGACCTCTCCTGTTTCTTCCCCTGCTCCCCTTAGCAGTGTGTTTCAGTGGATCTGCCTGTTCTGTTCCCCACTCTGTCCCTGGCGAATGCTCTCATCCCCCCAACCTCTGGCCTAAACCCTAGTTCTTCTATGCAAAAATAAATAAAATAAAAATCTTACAATAAAGGAATAATTCTTTAAAAAGAAAAAAAAAGATCAGTTTTCTCTAATGGTCTGGGGGATAGTATGTACCAGATAACATAGAGCTGAGAAATGGAGCTCCCTGAAAAAGTAGTTAAAATTTGACAGCTGAATTAGGAGTTGATTCGCTGGCAAACACTTCAGTTAGAAATCATGTTACCATTGCGTAATGACGGTAATCAACAACTCATAAAACCGTGAAAGACAAAACTTTATAAGCTCCCCTCCCCCCAATCTACATCTACTTTTCCATTTATTCAACATTTATTGAAAACTGAATCAGGCTCTGTGGTCTCCTTGAGGGGACTTGGATCTATTGAAAGTATAGCAATTATGATGGCTCTTCGTTAATTCTGTCTGTCAAGTCACAGCTCCGCTTAGTATATAGACCTAGATTTATTTATTTATTTTAAGATTTATTTATTTATACGAGAGCTAGGGTACAGGTCAGAGGCAGGGGAGGGTGAGAGGATTCACCAGAGAGAGCGGAGAGCAGAACAGGCAGACGGACCGAAGACCCTGCTGAGGACAGCAGAAGGTGAGGCAGCAGAGGTTTTCTGCACCATGTGGGAATCTCCCTGCCTGGCCAGGAATGGAACCTGCACTGCAAAGGCTGCGGACAGCTTCACAGCGCTGCGCTCAACCCGCTGCGCCACTGGGGAGGCCCTAGACTTAGATTTAAAATCTAAAGTGACTGATGTCCTGTATTAAGTTCTTAAAGGCCCTTATCACTACTCCCTACATGTGCCTACATTAGTTCAGGAAAAATTCAGGTTCTCACTTGGCCTGTTGTTTTGAAGTCATGTGATTTCTTTCCTTCATCAAGTCCAGGGAGATAGCTAGTTCCAACTTCTCTTCTGAAACCCTAGACATGGTACTTCAAGATCATATACATGAGAAAAATAAAGTCTAACAACCATTATTTAGTTACTTATTTTATAAATTGGCTCCAGAGTATATTTACAAAGTTTCATTTTTTACAAGTGAATAAACTAGGACTCTGAAAGATTAAATAATTTTTCATTATGAAATGTTGACAAAACTGGAATTTACACTCAAGTGTTTTTTGACTTTTAAGCCTATGCTTTTGCCACTTTCTACTTCCTAACATCCCCAAATGATATAAATGATAAATGCTTATTCTATTGCTGTGCAGACTCTGCATCCAGGAAACTTGACAAGAGCAGTATCTCCCCTGGACTGGGGAGATTCCGTGCTCTGAGTCCTGCCTCACAATCAAATCAGTCTTGACTGTTATTTTTTCTCTGTGTTAAGCACTATCCCTTCTGTTAATTACATCTACCCGGAAAACAATTTTATCATCTTGATTTTATAAAATAATAGAAGCTGAAGATTAGTGATTTTCTGAAATTATAAACTTAATGGGCCAGAAGTCCCATTATGAAGAAAATGGAGATGCCAGAATTAACACACATGTCTTGATTTATTTTATTATTTTTAAAATTTTATTTTTTTTATTTTCTTACGTTGTTCATTTTTTTCCAAAACTGTTGGGGGAGGGGAAGAGCTCAAGGGACCATGGTGATGGATAAGATCTACCGGGACTACAGCTGAAGGAGAGAAATTAAACACACATCTTGCTTTAAAGGGCACATTCTTTTTTCTAGAGAATGACACTGAGAGGGAACAAAGTTGAATCATGCACCAAGAGCCCAGAGACCCTCCCCATGCCTTGGAGAGTGGAGATGGTGGCTGTGGTCAATGCTCTGAGCTAGACTTTGAGTCTCCCGTTACTCTGGGAGATGTGAGAAATAGCTGCATGTTTTCTAAGTGGCATGATAGACCCTTGGGAGCTAAGCAATCTGACAGACATTTTTTTTTTTTTTTGCACTCCCATATTTATTGTGTGTTTTCATTTCTTTTTTTAATTTAAATAATAAATTTTATTTTTATATTCCCCCATACAATTGCAAACGCCCCATTCTGACCCCAATCCCTCCCCTCCCGCCCCCCACCCCCCAAAAAGCGTCTCTGGTTCATAGTTTTTTGTTGATTTTGATTTTCACTTTCTTATATTCATTTTCCTGGTCCCTTATTTAAGTTTTCTAGATTCCTGCTATGAGTGAGACCATCCGGTATTTTTCTTTTTCTTTTTGGCTTATTTCTCTGAGCATGATCCCTTCCAACGCCATCCATGTTGCTGCAAATTGCATGTGTTTATCTTTTTTGAATGCTGAGTAATATTCCATGGTGTATATGTACCACATCTTCTTGATCCAGTCATCTATTTTTGGGCATTTGGGTTGTTTCCAAAGCTTAGCTATTGTAAATAGTGCTGCTATAAACATAGGGGTGCAGGTGTTCTTTGGAATCGATGTTTCTGTGTCCTTTGGGTAAATACCTAGGAGTGGAATTGCTGGATCATATGGAAGCTCTATGTTTAGTAGGTCCAGAAATCTCCACACAGCTCTCCATAGTGGTTGACATTTTAGTAGCTGTAAGCTCTGAGTAACTAGAGCCCGCAAGGGGAGGGAGACTTGAGAGAGGCTGCCTGTTCATGTATCTCTCCCTGAAGCTGCAGTACTAGATCAGCATCTGGGATTTAGATACCATCTTGGCTGACTGTGTGTTTCCAGGTTTAGCGGCAAACCTAAGTGAATGGAATTTGTACTAAATTGGCAAGATGAAAGTTTCCCAGCTTGCTGTCAGGTGGAATGAGACATTGAGATAGAAACTAAGTGAAAATTTACATTTATTTACACATAAACATGTGAATTTACTGTTTATTCCCATTTTGCTCATTTTCTTCCAAAAGGTCAATTCATTCATTTTCATAGTGCAAATTCTCAGTGTAAGGAGAAAGAGTTATTCTTCTAAAAATAAAAACAGGAACTAAAATAGACTTAGTAAATTTGTAAACCATGTGGAAAAGTTTCATCCGTTCCCATATCATTAACTATTCATAATCATATTAGTGACTTCCAAGTCCTATTGTCAGCCTCCTCTTTCCCCCCATCTCTACTGGAGTATTTCCAACCTCCTGCCACAAAACTCAGCACATGCAGGGAGAATAGGGCTGGACCAGGGCCACAGAAATCCCTGCTCTGTTCCCCAAGCCAATACTCAGTAGGAATTTAATAAACTGTTAAGTGAGTGAATGAATACATGAATATTTTCTTTTCAAGAAATCAATAAGGGGACACTATTCATAGGCAATTTTATTTGGGTTTAGAAATTTAGATTTCTTTTCTGTTACTTTGCAAACACTTTTTTCTCTGCTGGGTTCTGAATAATGTAGTCTCCTACTAAGCAGTGATTGGGAAAGGAGAGGGGAAGTAACGTTGGTGACTGACCACGAATTTTTTTCTCTGTTAAGACTAACAATTCTCAACAAGGAGAAGATGGTGTTGGATAGTGTGGGGACATAAATAGGGGTAAGGTCCTCTTTGGATTTTCCAGACAGAAAGCTGATCCTCATCCTGCAGACTCACCAGTCCTGGGGGTCGGGGGTGGGGGGAGAATAAAACAAAATCTGGGTTTGCTAGGTTGGCACTGCTGGGAGAAGGCAGTCTCGCAGTCTCTTAAACACTTTGGTGGATTATTGCATCTAAGGTCTTATCCCTGACATTCTTGAGGAAGCTCAGCACTGCACTTCCACCAGTGCCCCTGTCTTCTAAGGCCTGAGGCGGCCCTGGGAGATGGCTTGACCTCCTGCTCTTTGCCTTGACTGCAGCGGTGATGATGTATTTGGCTACCACAGTGATGTGATAGTTTCGCAGCTCTGCCAGGGCCTCCACGCACTGGTTGTAGGCGGTAAGAAGTTGGCCATTTCCAGAGGACAGGACGTAGTCCCTCAGTGATGGAGCTGAGTGGATTTCTTCTATAAAGGCCTTATGCGAAGGAGGCATGTAGTCCCTCATCCTGTGCAGAAAATCAGCTGAAACAAACAATCCAAAACAATGAAACAAACAATCCAAAACTGCACATGGAAAGATAAGAGAACTGGTGCTTTTCCAGACACCAATGTCTCAAAAAGAGTTGCTGTCATCCTAACTGTCCAATCAATGTTACTGCTCTCTTGCTTGTAGGTATCAAATATGCAAATGAACACTATTGTTGGGAGGACACTGGAAAGGGAAAAAGAAGCAAGAGTAGCTCTGATAAGTAACTTGGAACTAGAACTATCAGTACATGTATAATAAACTGCCATGTGCCAAATGTGGACAAAATATCTTGTTAGCCACTATAAGGAATAGCCACAAATGTAAGGCATAAAACATAATACTGCTGATAAACCCTAAAAAAAATTGGCAGATTTTTTTTCCAATGTGCTTTAATTTTGAAAGGAGAGTTAAGGAAGAGAAAAGTCATAGAATTTATAAGGGCAATAAAAAACAGAATGAACAATGGTTTTAGTAATTAGTCTCCTTAAGTCAAGTTGTCTATAAGTCAAAATCAATAGCTGCTTATAGCAAATACAGATAATTTAGAGAGTCAATTTTGTGTTTAATATTATGCATGGTAAATCAACTACTAATATCACCAAATGAATAACCCACAAATAATTTCCACAGTTCTAGAAGAACTGAATTTTGTGAATGACCCTGTGCCCTATAACACCATATTCTAGTCATTTTTTTCTAATCCAACTTGAAAACTCTGTACTATAAAGTGCCTTTTGGCAGCTCTTGAATACTTAGCATAATGCTGGCAGGTAAGGAAATGAACAATTTCAAGCTTCCAAAGTTGTAGACTGTTCTTTTGACCTAAATAGACTTGGCTTGAGGGCACACCATTTTCATAGAAAAGGGTGTAATTGCATTGACTATGTAGATTGTCATTGACTATGTTGATTTGACCTCCAGATATTTCCCCAGTTTTATTATTTTTTAAAGATTTATTTATTTATGCATATAAGAGCTGGGATACAGGCCAGAGATGTGGGGGTGAGAGGAATCACCAGAGACAGAGTGGGGAACAGAAAAGGCAGATTGACCCAAGTACACTGCTGCAGGGAGGAGCGGGCGAGTTAGGAGTGGTCTGCTGCACCATGTGGGTTGCTCCCTGGCCTGCCGGGGATTGAACTTGTGCTGCAGAGGCTGAGGATTGCTTCATAGTGCGATGCTTAACCTCTTGTGCCATCAGGGAGACCCTCCTTCCCCAATTTTAGAAAAAGGAAGCTACTGCCTAAGGATCAAAGCAAAATTGTAGTGAAAAGCTAGAAATACATTTTAATATTAGGAAATAAACCTGCTGAGATCTGATATAATTGACTTGACACAGCAGCATATGGCAATCACAGAGTTTCCTGGTCCATTTGGAGAAGTACAGACTTCATGACATTTTGATTTAATTTTTTTAAATTTTTTATTTTATATATTTTTATATCATTTTTCATTTTTGCACAATATATGCTTTTCCATCTTGGTTATAGTCCCCAGACAATTCCCACCCCTTATTTTGACCATAATCCCTCCTATCCCCCACCTCCCATAGCGTGTCTCTGGCTTATAGTTGTTTGTTGATTTTGATTTTTACTTTATTATAATTAGTCTTTCTCCTGGTCCTTTAGGTTTTCTAAATTCCTGCTATGAGTGAGACCATCTGGTATTTTTCTTTTTCTTTCTGGCGTATTTTACTGAGCGTGATCCCTAGATAGAGCTTCCATATGACCCAGCAATTTCACTCCGAGGTATTTACCCAAAGGACACAGAATCATTAATTCAAAAGGGCACCTACACCCCTATGTTTATAGGAGCACTATTTAAAGTAGTTAAGCTATGGAAACAACCCAAATGCCCAAAAATAGATGACTGGATTAAGATGTGGTAAATATACACAATGGAGTACTACTCAGCAATCAAAAAAGATAAACTCATGCAATTTACATTTGGTTTTATTAAATAATAAAAATACCTTGTTTCTTCCTCCCCATTAAAGAAAGAGACAGAAAAATGTCTGGCTTACCACTTTCCTTGCTGTGATGGACGCCTAGGAGCTCATCAAAGGCATGAAGCACTGTGCTCTGAGCTGCACTCCCTCCAGAGTATTCCAGGGGCTCTTTGGAGACTCCTTCATATATCAAGCCCACAGGCATGGCTGGGTTATCTTTCCATCTAAGCAAAAGTCAGATTGAAAAAGGTAGTGCTAGGAATTTAGTATTTTCTGATATGGAAACGGAAGAATAAGTAACAGAACATGATTTCAATGGTAACTTTCAGGCAAGGAACTAGCAATCTTTGTAAGATATATACCATAGCATCATCTTGACCCCATTTGATAACACATCACAGGATGCATCCCTTCTCTTTCCTCAAAGAAGATTTTCCAAAAAAGAGTAAAAGGTATTTTAGAGAGAAATCCTTGGCATTGATTCCATGACCTATTCATTGGCAAAATTCACTATATAGATGATATCACTGCTAATCAACAGGAACAAATTAGATGCTGAAACAAACTTCAGTCCTTCTGCTAATTTCAACTTAAATGACCTGACATCTACAACTCATAAGTAGACGTTTGAACACACACACACACCCCTATCTTTGACCTTCCCTGGAACAGTTACAAGTGTAAATGTTGTCACATTAACCTATCAGTTCCAGATACTCCCTAACTGTGGGAATGTCTTTATCAAATAGCTTGTTGATAACAGGTGTTGATAATAATGGTAGCAACAAAGAGAACACAAACAACTCTGCAGGTTCCCACAAGCTAAAGTCCAGGACATGTAGAAGGATTAGAAGTGAGCCTCCTAATTATGCTCAGACTACGTGGGTTTGCTTCCCCTCCCCTCTCAGCTCTTCTATCCTTTCTGTTCCTCTATTTCCACTGACTGCCTTCTTCATCATTTTATCTTTGAGTCCCCTTTTTTCTGCTTCCATTTCCCTGTTGGATATTTTAATCTTCAACATTCAGAGAGTGTTTGGGGGGTGACTCCACAAGACAAAAGCCATAGCGCCAGGAACACATTACATTTATACTTAGAATGTTTTGTGGTTTATAAAGTACCTTCACGTTCATTTTCTCGTTTGACCTCTTTTGAGTAGATCAAGGCAGGTATTTTCAAACCCACTTTATAGATAATGAAACAAGGACTCAAAGCAAGTAAGTCCCCAGGGCTGCACTGTTAGGAATTGGGGGAACCAGAACTTGAATCTCAAACTTGCAATTTTCTACTTTCATTTTCCCAAGACCCACCCATGTGAATTTCTGCTTTTACCAAGGAATAGAATCTTTTTCTCTTATGGCCAAGAACAAGCTACATTCCCTGAGGCTAGTTATTTAAATAACAAATTTATGTTGATGTTTCACCTATGATAATTTTAAGTCATTTTGCTCAAGAGAAGGGAATCACACACATACTAAAGCCATAGACAAACTGCTCAATTTGCTGTTCAAGGCATTTTAAATACTTCCCTCAGGTAGGAAATGCTATAAGGAGTTGGGTAGTTTATTTGTGTGTGTGTGGCTGTTTAGGGATGGCTATTCGATGGTTTTCATTAATGAATATCTATTTGAAATTTAGGACAGCTCATGCCATTCTCAAAACATGCCAGCGTTACTCATCTCACTCAGAAATGAAGCCAGCAAGGTCACACAAGACCTGGTCTCTATTATCACCAAGCTCTTTCATTTTCTTCCTACTCCATTCAAGTCCTGCTGGCTTTTCTGCAGCGTTTCCTCTTTGAAAAATATGTTCCCGCCATAGGGTCACTATAATTGCTGTTCTTTACGCTTGGAACAGGAATCTGGGAAGCTCACTTCTTGCCTCGTTTGGATACCTGCTTATAGGTCACTTCGAAGCAGGGCATTCCCATATCACAGTAAATAAATAAGAAACACTAGCCACCACTCTTAATACTCCATAACACCTTATATCCTACTTTATTTACATTTCTCTATATTGCATTTTTTGGTAACATATATTGCATTATACTCACTTTTGTTATATGTGTGCATTTAGTATCAATCTCCCATGTAAACTGCACAGAAATGAAGTTATTGTTTTATTATTGCATTCTCAGTATCTAGAAATGTGTCTGGAATATGGTAAACACTCACTAGCCATTTGATAAATGAATGAATAAGGACAGCATTCTGTAATTATATATTTCATATCCAGAATGTGTAGACCTACATGTACTTCTTGAAAGGACTCGGTAGCTTAAAAGAACCATCAGATGTTCAAATGGGCAAGAGACATCAATGCCCGGCCTGAAGTGACTATGTTGAAGTCACATTGAAGGTGACAGAAAAAAGACAGGGCATGAAACCCAAAAATTGGAAAGGGGAGTCTTTACTTTCAAAAACTGTATTTTCCCACTAGGAAGAGATTAGATGAGGGAGGGAAATCGGGTGTCTCTGAATAGTCCCAGTGTTGCTCTTATGCATTCTCAGGATGAATTGTTTGTGAAGGAATGGAATTATTTTCCTTTCAAATCTCTGTAGGCTAATTATTTTTAGCCTTTTTTGTAACATATTTCTTGCAAATTTAAGAAAAGGGGAGGTTTGAACACCACCAAAAAAGAAATATTTTTTCCAGAATAGTTGATTGCTTCCCTTAGATATTCGAGTGGGAAATGCTCCATTTATATAAAGTTGAAAGATGAAATCTCTCCATTATCCTAAATAAAAAATGTGAAATCACTCAACCCTCCTAAATAAAAAATATTTGAAAGGAAAAAAATAATAATTAAATATAGGATAAATCAAGAACACAGGAACAAATTTCTATTTTTCAAAAATAACCCTATTGGGAATTCTCAACAATCCAGATGTTTTTGACTATAATCGCTTGTCAAAACATTTGGGATTTGGTACTGGTCACTTTGTTTAGCAACATGGGAAATATTTTTGAGGGTTAGAAACAGAGGGAGGCATTTATGTAGATCATAGATAAAATTAGAAGTTACTGACCCAGAATTTATTTTAATGAAAACAAAGTCACCTCTGCTGTTCATCGTATCACAATGATTTTAGAATATACAGTGTATATTTTAGAATATACAGTATCTTATCAGATACCTGTGATAAAAAGGAAAAGTATCATTGATTTATTCCTTGGAGGATCTTATAGTACAAAGCATTCTAAGAATGTTGTGCCAAGATTCCAGTTCTAATTTCTAGAACTGTTAATATTATGAGAGACCATGTTTATCAATGTGATACATTTTGAGGCAAGAAGGAGCTTTGCAGATGTAATTAAGATCACTCATTAATTGCCCTAATACAGTGAATTATCCTGTATTTATATGATCTGAATATAATCACATAAGACCTTAAAAGCAGAGATTTTTCTTGCTAGTGGTAGAAGGAGAAGTCACAGAAACAACAGTAGAGGGAAAGGAAGCCACATAATAAGGCATGCAGGAGGTCTCTGGAAGCTGAGAACACTTCAGACTGATAGTCAGCAAGGACATAGAGACCTCAGTTACCAAGCCACAGAGAACTAAACTCTGCCAACAACCTTAATGAGTCTGGAGGTTACTTCTTCCCCATATACTACAATAAGAGCCCAGAGGGCCTGACTTTGGCATTTTGAAACCCTTAGCAGAAAGTCAAGTCAAGCTTGTCTAGACTTCTGATCCACAGATGTGCGAGATGATAAATGTGTGTTGTTTTGAACTGTTATATTTGTAGCAACAATGGAAAACTGACACAAACTTAGAGAGCAAAGGGAAGCATGGAGAGATGTTTCAGGATTAAGTGCTTGTAAATTCTGGTACATTTAAAATATTTTGAAAGTGACCCTTGTATCCCATTGTCTAATTCTGCCAAAGCATAGCTGCATGTTTTGCTAAATATTTGTTGCTAAAAAATCTATTCTAGAATCATATCTTGTATTGATCTTGACTAGCATACAAAAACTACAGAGTCCAAGAAGAGTTAAAGGACAAATAATCTCTCTGGGGAGGGTTTCAGGAGTGACAAGATCAAGGTGCACAGGGAAAATCTAAATTCTGAAGCATGCTGCTAATTACTTTTCTGTACACTTCCCCCTCTTTTTCCTTTGTCACCATAAACTAGGTCCCCATTACACTCAGGTCATTCTTTGGAATCCTCGTTGCTTCCACACACTAGCCCCTACAACAAAAAGTCTCTCACCAGGCTGACTCACCCTTAGACTGTCCACACCACGTCCTAACCAATCTAGAGTACTTAGTACATGTTGTCACTCATTTCTTGCACCAATAGAACATACTACTAAATCTACTGTCAAATCAATATGACTACTGATACTGGTACTTGGCATGTTTCTTGCTGTATCCAGGAACACAGTCAAGTTCTATCGAGAGCAACTCAAGCATCTCCTAGTTATTGAGATGGTTGACAAGATGTATATTTTGCTTGTTTTACATCCTCCACCCACTTTCTCTGCTTTTTGCCATTAAAACAAACTGAATTTCTCTGTTAATGTGAATAGAAAAGTATTTGGATTAAAGCATGTCAATGTATAACTAGTATATGTAAAAGAAGAAATATATCTAAGAATAGAGTTTTCTTTCTATCTGGAAAATTCACATGCCATGTCACAGAGGAGAGTACCCAGTAATATGAAAAAATAGCTGGGGGTAGCTGTGCCAGGAATGTTAGATAAAAGCTTTGAAGCTACTGTCTGTGCTTTCATCTGCTTTAATGCATGGACATAAATGATGTAGCTTGGTGAGGAGCACTCTGGACTTTTCTTTTTCTGTCATTAAGGAAGGTGAAGACAAATGGATCTAATAGGACAGCTTAAAGGACAATTACTCGAAACTTAGATATTCAACCCTCAACATTATTCGTCATGCAGATGGTTCCCACTTACTTTACCCAAGAATGGATATGGTGTTTACTTTGCTAGCAAGGGTTTTTAATGTGTTTCTTACTTTAGGGAGCTTCTGCCTGTTCCTTCCTTATAAATTTGGAAAATGCTACAGAGGCCTCATGTAGAAAAACAGATGAACTATACTTACCCAGAGAGAAAGATCCGGATGACTGCATAAAATATGTCTGGATCTACATAATCTGGAGGAGCAATCAAAATGTGAACTTTACTACAGGCAAAATAAGCAATTGGTTACATGTGTATGGGACCCGCCGCTCTCCTGGGGCTGCTGCCTCTATCTGATCTGCACGGAAACCTGGAATGAAAGCAGCAGGACAGGGGGATGGAATGTTCTCTTCTACAGCCCCCTTTGTTAGTGCTTACAAAACTTTTAAACTATTCCAAATGCTGCCCTTTTCTATTTGTGGTGCTTCGCTTTTCTGTACTTAATAACAAGAACGAAAAAGCAAGATCAAGGCCATCTTTTTAAAAGCATTATTTGAAATAGACAGGGTGTTTCAGAGAATGTGGGAAGTGAGAAGTGGAAAGAAAAGAAGTGAAGAGAACGAATCACCTCTTGAGGGATTTTGCAAGAGAGGAAAATTAATGTCATCCATGTTCAAGTGAAGTTGTGTATAAACGACAGAGCCGAGTTGTTGAGAATCTCTTGTCTGGGCATTGCCACACCAGGTTAGACACAAGGACATTTAATCTTGCCATTTAGTGCATGTTTAGCTGTATTCATTAATCTGCACAGCTATTTTGGTATATAAGCCAATTCTTGGGGATAATTCTAGTTTGTGGATTTGTGGATAAGGAAGCACATCTTCACATTTACATTACATTTCTTTTCATCAACATTTGAAGGTGGTTCTTTTTTTCATATAATAGGGTTTCCATGAACTCTGTGACCTGGCGTGTTTCTCTTTCCCAGATTCCTGTCAACAACAAACTTTGTTGTTTTTCATTTTTATAAGACCTACAGAATGATGAAACTGTTCTGTCAGCTGCCCCCTTCTACATCCATCCACAGTCTCCGGCCCTCCTTCCATTTCCTCGGAAGTCGCATGGGCGCAGGGAACTCCTGTCTTCCAAGTCACATGGTGGTCCCTGCCAGGGGTGTCACATTCTCTCTGCTCTTCTGTGACAATGCTCTCTTTGCTGGATTTTTCTCTGGATTCCATTTTTATAAGTTTCCCATTTGGATCTCTGTTCTCACAGAAATTCTATAAAATGTGTAACAACTTTGCCGAAGGAGCAATGACTTGCAATAATTTCATAGCTTACCACATTTAAGGAAGAAAAGTAAAAGATTATTTCAATGAATGTGAAAATTTTTGATGTACAAATTTTAACAGATGTAACAAAATCCATTGATGATTAAAATGAAAATCTTTAGGTAATTCAGAACAGAAAGAAACACCTGTGAACTGATAAAATGAATCCATAGAAAGTACATATCATACTTAATGTTAAAATATTAAATAGGAGATTTTTAAAATGTGGAGTCAAACACTTGTTGATCAATGCACTTGTATTGAACACTATTTAGAAGTCCTAGTCAGAAGAATAAAAAAAAAGTTTATAAAGAAATGTAAGTTTTAAGTATAGTAAGAGCTCACTTAATTTTGTCAGTAAGTTCTTAGAAATGTTAACTTCAAGAAAAGTGACATATAACAAATTAAGTTTCTTGAATAAGGTTGTTTTGTTGGGTGAAGGCCAGATTCACTTTTCTCATCAACATTATAACAAAAGAATGATGAACAAAACATATTCGAAGACCTGCTATATGTACATGAAGAAATAAAATATTCTTCTCAAATTATGTGATTTCTACATTAAAAAAAACATATAACCTGCAGCTAATAATAAGAATTAACAAGTGTTCGCCCAAGAGTTATTGAACTGTCAATTTAATTTTATTTTTATTTTTTTTAAAGATTTTATTTATTTATTTATACAAGCACTGGGTACAGTCAGAAGCGCGGGAGGGTGAGAGAATTCACCAGAGCCAGAGCGGGGAGCAGAGCAGGCAAAAGGACCGAAGTACACTGCTGAGGGGAGCAGCGGGCGGCAGGAGAGAGTCTGCGTGCCATGTGGGACCCTCCTCCGGTGGCCAGGGAGCAGCCGGGGATCGAACCGGCCCTGCAGAGGCTGTGGGCAGCTCTGCAACCCAGAGCTCAACTGCTGCACCACCGGGGAGGCCCTGAAATGTCAATTTAATTTTAAAAACCAGTATTTAATAATTAGGAGTTAGCTAATGATATATCACTAGAAATAAAACACACAGTAACTATGACTAGAGCAGGGAGTGGAATCTAAGTGTCTTATCTTGAAAGAAACTGAAGAAAATTTAAAAAGTCATAGAAAAACTATCCATGTTTATGGACAAGAAAACTCTAGCAATATAAGAGTAGAAGCATATCCAAATAAGACTTCTATCTGGATAAATTTCATGCTGTCTGGCAGAAAAGAATATCTAGAAACATGACGATGTGATTTGGGGTAAAGAAGAAGTGTACCTGGCTTCCCAGATGCGAGGGACGCTTCTAAGGGATGAGCTTCTTTCTCATTCCATGTAGAATACTGAGGTGCACTCTAAGGTGGCTGGGAGGGTGGCAAGCAGGGCTTTTGGAGGACTGCAAGGGGATGCAGACCCCACTGACTGCGTTGCAGATGCCAGCCAAAAGCCTGACCATGAGCTGTTGGTGATTCCTTGCTTGCAGATCCACCAACTAGCCCATGGGTGCCACTAGCACCCTGGGCACCTCACCTCTCCAGCCATGATGGGTTTCTGATGTGTGTTCCTGAATGCAGCAAGAGCAAGCCTTTGCAGATGGCTAGTGAGGCAGGCAGACAGCTATTCTGCCTCTGCAGACCTGAGAAGAAACACAAATTTGAGCATTCAATGTTGACCAAGAGAGAGCAAAAGGGAGGCTGGCAGCACACAGCCTGGCTTTGCAGGATCAAAAGAAGAAGGCATAAAAAACTAAGAATTTTGCCACAAGAAAGAAATGAGGAGTAGGTATGTCCATAAAAAGTCTGAAAAAGCCTCAGAATCTCTACCAAGACGATAGAAGGTAGTTCTTTCTCAAAACTAGTAAAGACTGGAAGAATCGATACTTCCTCAGATATGAAGGCAGCAGTGCAAGACTTCAAGGAATGTGAAAAAAAAACTTGACACCATCAGAAGAATAAAATAATTTTCTAATAAATGACCACAGAGAAATGTAGCTATGTGATTTGCCCCATAAAAAATTCAAAATAGCTCTTTTAAGGAAGCCGAGTGATTTACAAGGAAACAGAAATATAATTAAATGAAATTTTAAAAAATGCATAAACAAAATAAGAAGTTTAACAGAGAAAAAAATCATAAAAATGAACCCAAAAATTTCTGGAGCTGAAAAACACAATGAATAAAATGAAAAATGCAGTAGAAAGAGTCAACAGCAGGTGGCATCAAACAGAAAAGATTATCTATAGAGAAAAAACAATGAATTATATTTATATGACCAAAATCCATAACATTTACTACAATAGGTAAATTGCAGGAAGAAAATATACACAAGAATTCTGTGTATATAAAGTTCAAAAACATACAAGACAAAATAATATGCTGTTTTATAATAACTTAAACAATGAAGTTATTAAAAAGTTAGAGATTAATTAATATAATCAGGATGACAGCCACTAGAAGAAATGTTTAGAGGAATGAAATTGTGGAGGTTTGGAAGTTTTGGGTAATAATCTATTTAATGTGTGAGCTGGATATTAGGGTGCTTATTTTACAATTGTTAACATGTTCAATTTTATATTGTGTATACATTAAGTATATTATTTTAAAAAGAAAAGAATTTGGGCCCAGAATAGTATGATTATATTGCTCTTAATAGAGTCACAGCTAGAATCCAATCTTCTGATTCTGAATCTAATGGTCTTTTAATTTTCCTTAAGCTGACTTGTCTGGGAGAAATTTCCAGCAACTCAGTAGGGAATACATTTTAGGCACTGACTCTGAACACTGTTCAGGGAACACCTAAGACAGAACTTCCTTCTCTAACAATGTGGGGCTTCTGAGGGTTGAGAACCACATAAGCACTCTTGCATTTGGGTCTAATGTGTGTACATTTTGGCTAAGAAGATAATTCCTAAAAGCCGGTGACCATGACATGATCCTACAGAAAACACAGAAGATCTAATGCCAGATTTGAGTTCAGTTCGCTCCTTTTCCTGCCATGTGGTGGAGTGAGAAAATGGTCCTGCTGACGGAAGTCTCCGCCCAGATGGCTAAGCCCCGGTTCATTTAGCGCCTGGCTATATGTCTTCCAACATTTCGGTTGTTGTTCAGCAAACAAAACATCTTCTTAAAATCCCTCTTCCAAGTGAATCTCAAGAGAAACATAGTGTGTTTTTGATTAGCTTACGAATATATTCAGGTCATGAAAACTTTGTGTGGTAAGCATTATTTTTATTTTGTTTGGAAAACCTAAGGAAATTTGCTTTTTAAACTTTTCAGGAGTAAGGATTTAGGTTTTGTGCTGTCAAGTGACATTTATACAAAACAAAAGTCAGCAAATCCTGCCTGGGGGTCAGAACTGTAAAAATACAGATTCAGAATTAATGCAGGGTTTGCATATTTCATTATCAATGTTGATTATGTTCCCATTCAGGAAAACAGCACAGCCAATACTCTACCTCTGACACCTAAAACAAAGCATTGTAGATGCATAATTGAGTTATACACTCAAGGTCAATGAACACCAAAATGTACTCTTTTCATGTAATTCCCATTTTAAAGCGTATGTTTCCACAGACATCTCACCATCACCTTACATGTGACGTGTCTGAAAGAAAGTTCATTATTCTTCCCTGGTACTCCCTATTTGCTCTAGAAATCAAGCAGAAATTAATTGAGTCATCCAAATAGTAGGTCTTTGCCAGAGGCACCATGATTTTTTTTAGACCAATGTTGAAATCATACATACATCCCCGGCACCTCCTTCTGCTCCTGATCATATCAATCTGCCAATGCCCAATCCTTTTCCTTGATGTCTCCTGTTCATCTTCTAAGACTGGTGTTGCCAACTTTAGGAACAGATCAGAATAAAGTATTTTCTTATTAGACTCCAGTATCTGCTGATCCCAATTTTAAAAGAAGAGAAAGAAGGAAGGAAGGAAGGGAAGGAGAATATAATTTAGT